ATAACCCAAGGAGAGTGTGGATGTTTACCACTGCAAATGTTCATGAATCCGCTCACTCACACTCACCCGACGACAGCACTTCAGAGGACGGTCGAGTAAAACGGCCGCCAAAAAGACGACCCCGACAATACACTCACTCACGCTCACTGCCCCTGTCGCTGTTTGGCTATCCCACAGGCTCTGGCATGCTTCAGCTCTTTGCGTGCCCACCAACCCAACTGACACGTTTCTGTACATTCCCCCCTCTCATTTCACAAACAACATTATTCACCCGTCAGCCCCCACCCACTTTACATCCATCCATCCATCCGTCCGTCCGTTCGTCCGTTCGTCCGTCCGTCCGTTCGTCCGTTCGTCCGTCCGTTCGTCCGTCCGCGCAGTCCATATTTAAAGCATTTCCAGGACTTTGAAATGCTTCCCTTTCTGCTGCCTGACTTCACACAGTGCGGCTGGCCGCAGGCCCATTTCACAAGGGAGGGTTGCGTCTTCCCGGCCTGCATGCCAGACCAAGCCCGCTGACACCAATGCTCCCGTCGCACCTCACAATTTTCCTTAGAGAAAAGCAGAGGAATGCCCCCCCCATTGGCTTTACCCACTCCAAAACTAGCCTGGTTGGAATTGGCCTGGATCAGGCCGGATGTATATTTCCAATTTCGCACTCGCATTTGACCTGCACCTGGGCGTGCAGATCTGCACCAGGACGTGAACAGACCCAGGTGCATTCTGACCAGGATAATTTTGTCCTTCAAATAGGGGAGGGGCCGTTTCTGTCCTTTACCCCCTCGTTGCACCCCCCATACATGTCTCCTCTTCGCATTCCGAACCTAGACACACTACATGGACTGCAGTGTCACTGTATCATCATCCACCACACTCTCTCCTGCCATGAAAGCCTGACACGGCCGACAGTGGGACCGTGTGCCAATGATCGTTCAAGCTTTTTTTGCCTTCGTATGCGCGCACAGATGGTGGCATGCAGAGATAGCCACTCACACACTCAGCCGGCTGGCTGGCCGCCGTCACGACCGCTCAGCTCCACCTTCTCACAGTCCATGACCACCGCCCAGCTTCTCTTCAGGTTGATTCTTTCTCGACGAGAGGGACGGGATGCTGGTACTGTCTGCACCATGCCTTCGAGCTTGCCTGCCTGTTGATGCACGTACTTGGCAGCATGCAGAGCTAGCCAGCCATGCAGCGCACGCACGCAGCTGGCTGGCCCCCCGCCTTCAACACCACTCAGATCCAGCTTCTTGCTTGCAGCAACTGCCTACTGCCCAGCTTCTCTTCAGGGTGGTGGTTTCTCCGGTCAGAACGTTGGGATGGCGGTTCGGAACCCACGCGATATCCCCCATTCCGAGGCGAGATCCCCCATCTGAGGCGAGATCCCCCATTCCGAGGCGAGATCCACCATCCGAGGCGATATCCCCCATCCGAGGCGATAACCCCCATTTCATTTCTCTCTTCCGAACGTAACGACCTTGCAACAACCAGTTGAAAACGTTTTTTTTTTTTTTTTTTTTTCTCTGGAAGGGGAATAGCCCCTAATATTTATTGTATTCATCAGGATATGAATCCATGTCCTGTTTAACAGCTGTAACATGTGTGTACCATTTCAGCCGCAAGGGACTTGAAGGGTCGGGCAGCTGCAATTCGCACGTCGAAGGTCTTGAAAGTTGAAATATAGTGAATGTTTCCGCGCTTTTCGAGTCGTTTTGCTCTCGCTTTCCCTCCAACCTACCTGGCACAGGCCATTGGTCCAGACTGAGTCATTGCAGCCACGCCTGCAGCAGGTCCCGTTGCCGGAGTGCAGCTTCCTTTCCGCCTGTACGTCGGACATGAACCTGGAATGCAACTGGAACCGTCTGTGTCCTCCACATTCCTCGTCTTATGAAACTGGAGCTGTAGAGGTGCTGCGTTCAGCGTCTCTTCTTGACCTAATGTACTACTACCATCCACGCATTCCTCGCTTGTCCTGAGAGCAGGCGGGTCATTTCCACCCTGTTCATCCGTGTCACCACCGCCGTAGTTCCCCCCCTTACCTGCAGCAGGATCAACCGTTCGCTCACGGTCCGCTTTTGCGGAACAGGGCGCTTCGGGCGACTCCTCGTCATCATATGAATACGTGCGCTCTGGAAGGCCACCCAAAGCGGCTTGAACCCTGTTCTCGTCACCTGCCGCGGCTCCACTGCCTACATCGACGACGAGGTTCACCTGTCTGTGCAAAAGACTGTTATTGATGGGGCCAAAAGGAGTACGTCGAGCAACAGGTCTCGAAGCGTCCGAAGTCATAGTCGCATCCTTTTGTAGAAGCTGCAACTTCATGTCTCGCGGCTTCGTCGCTTGAGCGGCTTGACCCACCACACCTCCTGCCCTCTTCTGTTCCTTCGCCTTCACTTGCTTTGGCATTACCTCAAAGAGAAATGATCCCCCTGCGCACCACAAAGCCGCAAAAAGCCCATTGCAGACATAGCATGTCAAACGGTCCAACAGAAAAACAATTACAGAGAGCAGCAAAATCCGTGGCCAGGACTTTGCCCAGGACCTTCCACGGCCGGGCATTCCAGGCGGTCCGAGGCAGCCCGGTTGCCCGGAACAGCATCCTATCCCCAAGTCGCATGGCACGTCTTTAAAGTTTTGTTCATGTCATAATCATACATTCCCTAGGTTTTTTTCCTTCCACTTCATGGGGAACTGCCTCTCTCTCTCTCTCTCTCACACACACACACACACACACACACACACACACACACACAACACACACACACACAAGCTGCATGCTTGGTAGGCGCTCGACACTGCTTGTTTACACACACCCTGCCCTCTCTCTTTCTCTCCACTACCGACCCCATACTTGATGCTCCCCATCCCTCCCTCTCTCCCTTTTGCTGACACGTCCAGCCATCCATAGTCCTCATTACCTCCCTCCCCACCACCAGCGTAAAACATCTTGAAAACTCCCTGAGCACTCACCCTTTTTACTCCTGTTGCCCCTCCCTTTCCCTCCATGACTGCCTCCTCCCCCTTAACATCTTCCAACTGCGTTTCACAATGCCTGGTCCCCCTGCTTCCATGGAATCCATCCTCCAACCTCTGAAGGGCCTCAACACTGCACACCATCAAACTCCCTCCCTTCTTCCACTGGATGTAAAGCACTTCATGCCCCGCTCCACGGGCAAGATGTCTTGCAGCCCCAATTGCCTGGGTACCCTCCTCCTTGTCATTTATCTCCGTCTCACTTCACCAGCATGTGGTGCACTTTTAAAAGCACTTACAAGGAGGAGGGTACCCAGGCAATTGGGGCTGCAAGACGTCTGGCCCGCGGATTCTTCTTCTTTTTCGTCTTCTCCTTCTCGTCGTCCTCCTGCTCCTCCTCCTCCTCCTCCTCCTCCTCCTCCTTTTCCTCCTCTTCTTTTCCTCCTCTTCTTTCATCTTCTCGTCCTCGTCTTCGTCATGTACATGTGAAAAGTGCCCCCATGTGGCTTACTGTGCCCACCGACCATGTTCCTTTCCATGGTCGTCTTCTTTTTTTCGTCTTTTTTTTCCCCTGGGCGCCTACTAGTTGAAGGTTTTCCCGGGGAACTTCTCGTTGAAGATACACATGGCCAGACCCTTGCCAGACCAGTCGGAGCCTACCAGCTCGTCACATCGTCGTCCCTTTAAGAAAAAAAAACTGTCTTTTAAGTTTTAAATTTTAAATTTTAATAGACTTTTATGTTTTACAGCCATCGACCAGTGAACCGAGTAGAGGAGCCAGAGGCACTGAGCCTGACGCCGCCGAACCTTGCCTCATTTCCATGGCCCAATTACAGCCATGGAAAATCCACCTTATTGCAAACTGCTGAGTTATGCAGTCGTTGTGCGGTGCTCGACTTTCTAGCCTCCTCAAACCCCCATCATCACATCCACCTTTCTCTAGAATAGAGGACGAGGACAGTCCAGAGTCCACCATGGAAGAATGGACAGGGACAGTGCAGGTGCAGATCATGCACCTGGGCATGCAGATGGCCAAGTGCATGATCTGCACCAGGACGTGAACAGACCCAGGTGCACCATGGAAGAAGGGACAGGGACAGTTCAGAGTCCACCATGTGAGTTCAAGAGAGAGTTTGCAACTTTGCATGTTTAAGAGGTATTATTAAGAAAGTTCTTTACATTTTAGTACGGAAAAAAAATAGAAAATATTCAAAAGAAGGCTATAATAACTTTAATTATTTAATAAGGCTTTTTTTTTTTTTTTCCCCGAACACCCTCCCGTTCTTGCAGCGCTGGTAAGAGCAGACCCTGCTAGCACCGAGGGGGGAGGCTTCATCTATTGGTGGGGAGCATCACCTGCTCGAAAGCGGGTCCAGCGCCCCGCCCCCTATACAAGATGATACAGACAAATATGGAGAAGGTAACCCCGGGAGATCCCCGAGATGCCTTACATTTTAGGAAGAAAAGAAAACAAAAAATAAGTACTACACGTTCGGAGTGAGAGCATTCAATTTGATAATATGCGCCTTGGGCACTGGATCCCTGCGTTTCACGAAAAAAGAAAGAAAAAAAAAAGGAGTGAGAGCTCTACAAGATCGTCCTAATCGATATTCCAGTTGCAGCTGAGACGATGGTACCATAGAAACTGGAATCCGGAAAGCGAGCTGCAACTCCGAAACTCCTGACCGTCTCCGGACTCCTGTCTGTATTCGAGATTCTCATTTCAGAGGACTGCAGACCGCAATAACTGAGATGCAAAAAAAAACACTTGCGGCTGCACGTTTCGGACAGGAGTCGAGACTTTGTAAGGAACACCCCCCCAAAAAAAAATAAAAATAAAAAAACACGTGGATACGACGCACCATTCCAGATTGCAGCCGCAACTTTGAAGAACTGGAACGTGCAGTGCAGTTTGTAGGACTTGAAGATAGGCACCGTCAAAGCCATTGTTGCAACCTGTGTCATGTGACAAACACCACAAAAGATGTTAAAGAGGGATATTAACACGTCACTAGATGACCTGTTGCAGCTTCGCTCGCAAAAACAAACGCGACAGGTGATGCAGTAAGATGGTGGAGGCAACCGATGGATGCAAACTCTCTCTCTCTCTCTCTCTCTCTCTCTCTCTCACACACACACACACACACACACACACACACACACACACACACACAGACAGTTCGTGTGAACCCCACGAAAAAAGCATGACTGTGCCAGACTGTTTCGTTGGACTTTCACCAACAGTCTGCCCATGATGCATTTGCATGCATGCGTGGGTTCGTGCTCGTGCGTGTGTGCGTGCATGTGCGTGTTCGAGTGGACGGGCGGGCATTCGTGTAAGTGCGTGCTGTGCGTGCATGTGTGTGTGCTTGTTGGAGTGGACGGGCGGACGTTCGTGTGAGTGTGTGCTGTGCGCCGCCAAAGATATGCGGGGGGGTCAAACCGCTGAGCCCAAGAGTAGACCATCCCACCTGGAACCCGTTTCTCCTCACGTCTGGCAGCGCGAACTTCTAATCTGGGCCGTTGGCCAACTGGTACCGGGCCGACGGCCCCGATTACCCACCGATCTTAAAGTTTTAAAATCATGGGGCAATCCGGGCCATCGGGCCGGTAGGACCACGAATGGCCTGGATCGCCGCGCGATCTTAAAATCTCAAGATCGCGGGGCAATCCGGGCCGTCGGGACTGTAGGTCCGCGGACGGCCTGGATGCCTAAATTCTCACATTGGCGATTTTAACAAGTGTAGGGACAACCTGAAACCACAGCCAACATTTCCATCACCACCATCCTTCTCCTTTTCCTCCTCCTCCTCCTCATCATCATCATCACTAATCATCACTAATCATCATCATCATCAACACTAATCATCAGTAATCATCATCATCATCATCACTGTCACGACAATGGGCACCATCAGCTCGAAGGGCCTACTGGCCATAAATTGATGATATCAACGGCTTATTCCTCCTGACACTCCTTTGATGCCAGATCCAGTTGCGGATCCAGTTGCAGATTCCAGACCCGTTATGACCTCCATTTGCTATACGAGATTCGTGGACGGGGACTGCTAAAGTAATAGATGAGCTATTGTAGACTTCTGGACTGTGAGGGGCTGGTAGAAGACAGTGTTAGCCAAGGGAACAGAACTTACAAGACATTTTGGCTGATCTTTCCACCGATCAAATCTTCTTTAGTCCGGGGCCTTGTAACCTAGGCTGGTTGTGTATCCAAATAGATTATATCTACGGCTTATTCCTCCTCGCACTCCTTTGATGGTCCACTACCCCGGTCCCATTCTACTGGTCCCATTCTACCGGTCCCATTCTACCGGTCCCATTCTACTGGTCCCATTCTACTGGTCCCATTCTACCAGCCCCATTCTACTGGTCCCAGTTCTAGCTCTCGGATATCTCGCTCGTGGTGGAAGAGTGTGAGTTTGTGCAGTGAACATTCTCTGTGACCCTCACCTTCCTTAATGCATCCCTTTCTGGCTGTTGCCGTGGCTTCCGTCTGTTTTCCGATTTATTTATTTTTTTTGCTAACCTCGTGACCTCGTTCTTGTATGTCAAGCTAGTCAAACTGATCACAGCCGTCAGTTGAACCTGGGGTCCTTTCGGACCCAGCCTTCCACTAACTGCGGTTACACTACGGTCACGCCTCACTTTCTATACTTTTGTGCTAAACGAACAAGGACCTGGAAATTCTTGAGCACGGAAATTCTTCGGCACGGAAATTCTTGAGCACAAGTTCATGCGCTGTAGCTTGTAAGCATAGGAAACATAGCACCAGTGACCTTGGCATTTATGAACGTGGCCGCTCAGCACTGTTTTCATAGTACTTCATACATTCTTGAGCATTATGTCATGACTCACAAGTCTAGACTGGTCAAGCCTCTGGCTCTTTCCTGCCTTCGCCCTCACCACTTCCCCTGTCCTGATGCAATAGACTTTGTGTGAGAATCGTGCCTGCCTGCCTCTCTCTCTCTCTCTCTCTCTCTCTCTCTCTCTCTCTCTCTCTCTCTCTCTCTCTCTCTCTCGTGCGCGCGCGCACGCGCGCTCGCTCAGAGTGTGTGTGTGTGAGAGATGGGTTGAATGTGACATCGGGTAGGAAGGGGGTATTGTCGATTGAGTTGGCGGATATCTGCTGAATGCTCCACATTGAATCTTGCCTGGCTTATGGAAATTTATCTCATGAGATGTCATCTTCTCACCCCATGATTAGTTTTATGGATGATATGGTGTGCAGCATCTGCGCTAGGGATAGCCTACATGTGTTTCACACATATCTCCACACACACACACACACAGACACAATGACAGGCAAGCCAAATGCAGTTGAGGCTGAGAGAGAGGGAAAAATGCGGCGGCTGTTTCTGTTGGTGAGTTGTGTGTGTTGTCATGTTCAGTATGCACAACTCCACAAACAAGAGCATGGCTGTGCCCCACACACACAGAGAGAGAGAGAGAGAGAGAGAGAGAGAGAGAGAGAGAGAGAGAGAGAGAGAGAGAGAGAGAGAGAGAGAGAGAGAGAGAGA